GCAAGGTCAGGGAAGCGGCCAGGGAAGCGGTCAGGGGAGCGGTCAAGGTCAGGGAAGCGTTCAAGGTCAGGCAAGTGGCCAGGGAAGCGGTTTTGGCCAGGGAAGCAGTCAAGGTCAGGGCAGCGGTCAGGGAAGAGGTCAAGGGACTGGTCAGGGAAGCGATCGAGGTCAAGGGACTGGTCAGGGAAGCGATCGAGGTCAAGGGACTGGCCAGGGAAGCGGCCAGGGAAGCGGTCAAGGCCAGGGAAGCGGTCAAGGGACTGGCCAGGGAAGCGGCCAGGGAAGCGGTCAAGGCCAGGGAAGCGGTCAAGGGACTGGCCAGGGAAGCGGTCAAGGGACTGGCCAGGGAAGCGGTTTTGGCCAGGGAAGAGGTCAAGGGACTGGTCAGGGAAGCGGTCAAGGTCAAGGGACTGGCCAGGGAAGCGGTCAAGGGACTGGCCAGGGAAGTGGTCAAGGTCAGGGAAGCGGCCAGGGAAGCGGTCAAGGGAGTGGCCAGGGAAGTGGAAGTGGTCAAGGTCAGGGAAGCGGCCAGGGAAGCGGTTTTGGACAGGGAAGCGGTCAAGGGACTGGCCAGGGAAGTGGTCAAGGTCAGGGAAGCGGCCAGGGAAGCGGTTTTGGACAGGGAAGCGGTCAAGGGACTGGCCAGGGAAGCGGTCAGGGAAGCGGTCAAGGCCAGGGAAGCGGTCAGGGAAGCGGTGAAGGTCAGGGAAGCGGTCAAGGGACTAGTCAGGGAAGCGGTCAGGGAAGGGGCCAGGGAAGTGGTTTTGGTCAGGGAAGTGGTCAAGGGACTGGTCAGGGAAGTGGTCAAGGTCAGGGAAGCGGCCAGGGAAGCGGTCAAGGTCAGGGAAGCGGTCAAGGTCAGGGAAGCGGTGAAGGTACTGGTCAGGGAAGTGGTCAAGGTCAGGGAAGTGGTCAAGGTACTGGTCAGGGAAGTGGTCAAGGGACTGGTCAGGGAAGTGGTCATGGTCAAGGATGTGGTCAGGGATGTGATCGTTGAAACTGTCATGGGAATTTTGCATGACACCTACTGGAGATCTTTTCAATTCAGTGCTTTATTCATATGGCATGTTTTCCCTGTTTGCTCAAACAGTTTAGAAAGATTTTTCTGTCTCCACCCCCCTCCCTCAAATAAAAAAAAAGATTGCTTGAATTGGTGTTTTTGGAATCTTTTGGCTGTTTTCTCACATAACTGCTTTCTGGCATCAGTGCTTTGTGTAAGTTCCTCTCACTGAGAACTGGACATTTAGAAGAGTATTAGTCGATATTTACGCAAAATATACCACATTATGTCATGGGGACTCAAATGGCACCAAATGCTAAGAATGACCCTAACATTTTTATTTTGTATTCTTTCCTGGAAAAGGGAGTGACTGATACATCCAAAAGGGTCTGGCTGCAACCTTGCACTTGCACTCTCAGACACTTGAGCTTCCGCTAGCAACGTCACTTGCAGTTGTTGTTGTTGTTGTTGTTGTTGTTTTTTTTTTGTTTTTTTTTTTTTTTTTTTAATATTTGTTAAAAAAAAGACAAGACCCTCAAATCTGTGGCCACAGAAAAGTAAAATAGGAACGCATGCGCAAAGTCTCTCGTTAAGCGTTTTCCTCCTGTAGAAAAACAAACACTTAACATGGCCTAAAGGGTTAGTTCATCCAAAAATAAAAATTAGGCTGCGTTTTACTCACCCCCGCTGCATCATAGGTGTATATGACTTTCTTCTTTCAGACAAATCCAGTCGGAGTTATATTAAAAATTGCCTTTGCTCTTTCAAGCTCTATCGTTGTACTTGGCGGGTGTTGCATTGCTTCTGTCCAAAAGAAGTGAACTAAAAAGCACCCTTCCACAAAAAAAGTGTCACACGGTTTAAGTCTTTGGTTCTTTTAATTGTGGTGATTTTGGCTCACATTTAACAAAAACCCACCAATTCACTATCTCAACAAATTAGAATACTTCATATATTTAGCTGTTCTGTGGCCACGGATATGCAGGTCTTGTCTTTTTCTTGCAGGACCCTGTACCTTATAGTATAAAATTAGTTTTTGCATCTGCCTCATGGGCTGCAGTCAGTTTCTCCTGTCACTTTTTTTATTTTTTTTATTTCATTTTAAAGTTGTACAACTTTCTACTGTATCTGCATTTAAGTATAATTTGAGTACTTTTTACACCCCTGTAAACAGGTATGCCCGCCTTCATAGATTTGATTAGTCATCTCTGTCATTTTGACATTGACGAGCACAATGTTAGACCGCTGATCGCTCCGATGAGAACGTCCGTTGTCTTTGCAGCACCAGTGTTCAGTTAGTGTTATTAGGCAGTTATTTCACAACTTTTTTTTATTTTTTTAATAAGCCTATAAATGCCGAGGTCCGGATCTCATGCTAGGAACGGCAGTGTGCTCAACTTCATGCGGAGCTGCGCAGACCGATCGGCGACAGTTGCAGCTTGCAATCGGGGGTGGAGTTGAAAGCGTAGACGTGGAGTCTTAAGTGAATAAAATGCAATATTTGTCGAATACAGACATTTCAGAGACGTTTGCAGGAAGCAACAAACACTTTATGAAGGCTACGGCAGGCAACTGATAGGAAACGTCCTATAGACGAATTGCAGATGAGCAAACACTCTAAAAATACATCTGCAGATAGCATCAAATAGTCAAATAGACATTTCCGTGATGAAGGGTAATATTTCTTGTACCATTGAAGAAACTGTATTAATCCACCTTTCTCTGCTGACATCTAGTGGATAGACTGCAAATATACTGATGTAAACGATGTGAACAAACAAGTTATTACAACTAATTATGCAAGATCACAGAACGACGAAAACCATCCACACACTGAAAAAAAAAACTTTATGCTCAAAATTACAGTATTTTGAACGATTTAAATTTCAGTCACAGTAATAAACATTCAAAATTCCCCTTTTGTTTTTATTTTTTTTTCTTTTCTGTTCACTATGAATGCTAAAGTGTCTGTCTTCAGTTTAAAGTACTTTTCACAGGTTAATCAGAAGCGGTGTTTAGTAAGATACGCTACAAAAGCAATTCATTAGCCTACTAGACGCTAATTAAATCTTCAACATTATAATTAGATTGCTGCACTAATTACTCTCTGGCAAAAGTATTGCATTACTTAATTTCTAAATTTCACATCAACCTCGACAAGTTGACAAATACAAGGATAGAGATGAAACTGCTCTTTTAATTCTTTAAAATAGGCTAAATAATATAAAATTGCATACATTTTTTTCTTGCTCAATACAGCCGTTTTGTCATTTGGAGCATTGTTTGTATGTGTCTGGTTCGTGCTCAGAGATCAGATTGGCTTTCACTCCTGTGTCCAGTTCGAGTGACGCTGTTACTTCATTTATTTCCAGACATTGCCATAGGCTGGACACTTTTGTGAGTTTCACCATGTTTTCATCTTTCACATACACTGCCACACAACATTTCTTTCTCATTTCACTTCTCTTGATCTGTCTTTCAGCTACAGATGAACGGACTGAATTAAGAGACTGATAATTAATGAGCCTCCTGAAACTCTGCATGCAAACTTCATCTGAATGGAGTATCTTCAGTTTACAGATGAGTGTGCAGCTTCTGACATAGTGATTGGACTAGAAATATACTCTATCATGACACTGTACAGTAAATCTTAAACTTTAGAACAAGAGGATGTAAGACGAACAAGTAAATACGTAAATAAATAAATGAATTAATAAAATAAGTATTTTTTTCCCGTTTACAGCAGCCATTGGTCTCACATCTGGTCTTAATGAACGTTTGGAATGAATGAATGAATGAATGAATGAATGAATGAATGAATGCATATATTGTATTTGTACTAAAATAAGTAAAAAAATTAATAAAAAAAGAATTATATAATATAATTAATATAATGTAATATAATACGAAAAAATAAATAAATGATACTACACACACACACACAGAGACAGATAGATAGATGGATAGATAAATTAATTAGTTTTAATAAATTAAATTAATCTGATAAATTAATTTACCCATTAAACTGTGCAATTTAATACCAGTATGAATATCAATATGATGCAATAGAAGAATAATGTACACATATGAATCGCATTTGACAAATATTTAATTTTACTGAAATAATTTGTATTCTTCATATTACTTGCACGACTGTGTATCTAAGATGTAACTGAGTAAGTCCGAATTAAAACTTACTCGGGGGATCGAACATTCCGACACGCAAAGTCAATCGCGCACGTGACTGGACAGAAAGCGAAGCTTTGTTTGTCATTGGTCACGTGATTTCTATGTTAACATCTATAATAGAGAATTCATTAGATCAGTGTTAACAACACAAGCTTCGAATCGAGGCTTGATCTGGAACGCCCATTTAAAGGGGTCATATGATGTTACTAAAAAGAACATTATTTTGTGTATTTGGTGTAATG